CCTCATCCTTACAATTCTTTCTGTCTTTGCAGTCCGCTGACGTGGATTGAAGAGAAAGGGCCTGGCCTTAAGCGAAACAGATATTTAAGCTTCCATTTCAAATCTGGGTCTCTGGAGAATGTCCCAAATGTGGGAATCAATAAGAACATTTTCCTGAAAGATCAAAATATTTTTGTCCAGAAACTCTTGGGCCAGGTCTCTGAGAAGGAGCTGGCTGCTGAAAAGAAACGCATCCTGCACTGCCTGGCGCTGGCAGAAGAAATCCAGAAGGTCTGCCGTGCCAAGAAGTAAGAGGAGGAAGCGGCATGGTGCCTCGCGGTTGGGAACAGCATTTGGGCTTCATCACGAGTCGACCTTTAATGCTGTTCTTCTGATTAAACACAACACGCTGGGTACACAGGATTTACTTGCTGTGTTTTTGTTATTTTGGTATTTTTAGTGCAGAGTCTACAGGGTCTCATTACACAGATAGGACTCGTAGTGATCTTCCTGTTTTCAGCTTCCCAAGTGCTGGAATTACAGGCATGTGCCACCACACCCAGTCTCAGTTGCTATCTCAGTGTGGTCCAGAGGTGGGGCCTCCACAGCAGGCCAGGGATTAAGCCCTGGTCCCTGCTTCTGCCTAGCAGGTACTTTAATCCTCTGAGCTAGCTGGCCAGCTCCTTGCTGTGGTATTTTGGGCTGAGTTTGTGCAGTGGGAGTGAGGAAAGGAATTTACTTGGAGATGAACTAAGTGCTTTCCATGCCTGATTTCATATACTCTTCCCAGCAACCATAACAGATGGATATGACCAGTCCTATTTCCTTTGATGTACTAGAAAACCTTGTTTGAAGTCATTCAGGCAGTAAACAGAAGTAGACTTTTAAGACTGTGCATGTTCTGAGCCCTTCAAATATCACCTTGGAGTCCTTTTCCCATTTAAAAGAATATTACTAGGGGCCGGGAAGATGGCTCAGTGGAATAAGCACTTCCCTGGCAAGTACAAGGGCCTAAATTCAATCCCCGGCTCCACCAAAAAATAAATAAATAAAATAAAAGAATATTACTGTCTCCCACAGACATTCACTGGGTGACCAACTGCTAGGAAAATATAGCCACCACCCTGAGTAACACACTGTGTCATCACACACGGGGGGAGGTGAGGGGAAGGCACCCAGCAGGCAGAGGTCTGGCATGAGCACTGAGATGCAAGCAGGGAGCAACCTAGAGAATGTCTCTGGAGCAGTGTTGTAGAACATGGGATCACGGAGAGAGAATCCTAGAGAGCGAATCCAGTTGTGAGGGGAACCTCTGAAACGCACGCAGGAGCGATTTATTAGGTAGTTCAAGGGCACTGAAGGTTGTTCATTCATAGCAGAGGGACCTGGTCACCTTTGTGGATGAGGGAAGGCACTCAGAAAGCTGCTGGGCACAGGTGAGACCTCAGCCAAGGAGGAGGCCATCAGCTAAGGGACGGGAGTGCACCTGCAACCTGCCCCAGGCTGAGCTGAGTATCATTTGTCTCATGATCTCACTTCTGGTGCATTTTCTGCAAATCCTGCACTAGTTTTCTTGCTGCTGTAAGTGCTCCACATGGATTTGTGTGCTTCCCATTTGCTATTATGACATCTGACCAGTTCAAAAGCTGTGAGGTCAGTGTTGGAGGATAATTCTATTTACAATCTCTGTTTAATTCCCTCACCATGATACCTCAAGGCAAAACAGGAAAGCCTAATTAATTTTACACCTAAAAAGATTCTTAAAGTTACTGTCTTATTTGCCATGCAAAATAGTTCGTAATAAATATGGGTCACTTGGGTGCCTTGTATTGCCCCATGACATGTCCCATAGGGGGAGGGAATAGTGTGTGTGTGTGTGTGTGTGTGTGTGTGTGTGTGTGTGTGATATCGTGGCAGCTAGAAGGAGGCTAATATTGAATATAGTTACTCAACTGCAGCAAAGCACCTATTTGGGTTTAAAACTCTGTTTCAAAAGCACAGTGGTCTTATTTGATATTTGGGGAGGGGGTGGATGTCCCAGAAAACCATCACTCATTAAAGTTAGTTCAGGCCTTTTTGCAGTAATATAAAAGAGCTCAGTGAAGAACCAGAAATTGTTTTATCCCCAAAAGCAGGACAGTAGGTGGAACATTATTAAAAGAAATTATGTGACTTCCAGGAAGCTGGCAGAGTGGTAGGCAGTAACAAATCAAGTTCTCCAGGGTTCAGAATCAGAGATGGAAATCCAATTCTACTGTTATTGGAAGATAACAAGTTGAGGAAGAAAGGAGGGAGGTGGATCCCTGGGATCCAGGAAGAATCTGAAGGGAAAGTCGCAGCCTACAGAGAAAGTGAAGAGACACAACACAATACAAAAAAGGAAGGGGCAATCTGCATTTTTATCCCAGGCTCCTGGCTACTGGTATGAGAAAGGAAGATTGGATCTGCAGAGACACAGTGAAAGCGGGTGACTCCAGAGGCCTCCAGGGAGAAACATAACTGGAGGAACACTGAATGTCGCACTGAATGCTGCATGCTGCAATAGCGGGCGAGTGCTCCAGCCCAAGCAACTGCTCTGTCCCCTGGAGAGGGTGCCTGGTCACTTTAGGGAAAGGCCAGCTGAACTACGAACTCAGCAGCTGTGGCTTTGCTCCTTTTCAGGGCTGCCAGTGTTAAAAACTCACAGTGATTGGATGAGGGGCAAGCACAGGAGACAGACATCCAGGGTTGGGGAGCCGTGGTTGGGCAAGACGCATTCAGAATTTGATTAACTAAACAAGTCAGCTCCAACACAGTAATCAGAGGCCAGGATCATCCTGGACCTCTTTGGATTTGAAAGTACTAGCAGTGGATTTCCATCCTGATCCTACCACAGGCTTTCTGGGATTACCTAGCATGGATCTGAGATTGGGCTGCCTCCTTGGGCTACCACAGAAGCAAAGTCATGCTCTGAACTGGACAATATCACAGAACTATAGAGCCTAGAAGATAAGCGCAGCCTTGAAATCACAGACAAATTTCTTTTTTTCCCCTAATCACATGTGGGCTTTTTATTGTTGTTGCTCATTTAAAAAAATTTTTTTTTGTATGTATGAGTGTGAAAATTATTTTTTGGGTTTTTTTGTTTTATTTTCTTTAGAAACTAAATACTGGGGCTGGGGAGATGGCTCAGTGGAATAAGCGCTTCCCCAGCAAACTCAAGGGCCTGAGCTTCAATCCCCAGCTCCGTAAAAGAAAAAAATAGAATAAATACCTATCAATGAAATTGAAGGAGTAACAATAACAGCAACAATAATAATAAACTATCAACAAAGAAAAGCCTAGGATAGGCTTGATAGATTTGCTGTTGAATTCTACAAGAAATTTAGAGAAGATCTAATGCCAGTTCCTCAAAATCTTTAATGAAATCAACATGAAAGCAATACCCCCAAAGTTATTCCTCAAAATAGGTATTACCCGATGCCAAAACCTGAGAAGGATGCAACCAAATAAAAGTACTGCACATTACTGTCTTTAATGAACAGAAATGCAAAAATGCTTCATAAGATACTGGCAAACAGAATGCAGAAAATCATCAAGAATATCATACCCCATGAGCTAGTAGGAACCATTCCAGGAATACAGGGATGGTTCAGCATACACAAATCAATAAATGTCATACCTTACATTAACAGAACTAAGGACAAAAACCACATGGTCATCTTAATAGCCACACAAAAAGCACTTAACAAAGTCCAACACCCAGTCATGATAAAAACCCTACAGAAATTTGGAATAAATGGTCTTCATCTCAAACTAATAAAAGACATCTATGGCAAACCAACAGACATCATCATACTAAAAGGACAAAAAATGCAAACTTTCACTCTATAAAGTTAGAAGCATGAAAAGCATGCCTACCAATACTAATCCTATCCAATGTAATTCTGGAAATATTATCCAGAGCAATTAGCCAAGCGAAGGGCCAGCCAGATAGCTCAGTGGATTAAAGGGTGTATGTTTCGGGTCGGTGCCGAAAGAAACGAGGAGAAGACCTGATGAACGTAGCTTCAGAGGTCTCACTGAGATTAGTCTCTCTCCAAGTGAGCCCAGAGCCTCAGAAGCATCTCACATTTACTGAGGGGTAAAGGCAGACTAAGAAATGTGCATAATTACCTAAGTGAATACAAACTACTATCTCTATTAACTTCCACCATTTGCCTAACACTAGGTTCACACAAATGCTAGCCGATAACATCCCAAGCAAGGGATCAAAGGACAGGGCACCTGTAGGAGAAGCTGTTTGCTTTGGGTCCCAGCTTTGGGGAATTTGCCAACAGACAGCAACCCTCCTCGGGCTCAGTCCAGTGTTCCCTGCTCTCTTGGGACATTAGGCTTTTGTCTCAAAACTATATCTGTACAAAGGGCCTACAAGCAGGTGCAGGGACCCAGGGTTTGATCCCTGGGCCTGCTGTGCCGGCCTCACCCCTGGGGTGCGCTGAGATAGCAATTGAGACCAGGCGTGGTGATGCCTGCGCCTGTAATTCCAGCTCTTGGGAGGCTGTAAACAGGCAGATTACAAGTCCAATCTAGTCGTGAGACCCTGAACACCCTGTAGACCCTTCCCTAAAAATACAAAAAAAAAAAAAAAAAAAAAAAAGCCAAGCGAAGAAATAAAAAGAATAAAGATATGCAAGGAAGAAGTAAATTATCATTTGCAGACGATAAAATGCTCTACATAGAAGACCCCAGAAACCCACCAAAAGACTTCTAGATTTAATAACCAAATTCAGCAGCATAGCAGGATACAAAATCGATGCTCAAAAATCAATAGCATTCTTACACACAAAAACAAACTCATTGAGAGAGAAACAACAACTTTCATATTAACCTTGAGGAAAATCAAATACTTAGAAATCAATACCTCCAATCTAACAAGGAAGTAAAATAACTTTATATTGAAAACTTCAGGGCTCTGAATAGATTGAAGAGGATATCAGAAAATGGAAAGATATCCTTTGTTCTTGGATAAGCAACACCAATACAAGGAAAATGACTGCTATGGTTTGTATATTGTTGTCCCCCTAAAGCCTCATGCAGTCTTGGGGCAGCTTCTGGAGTTGGATTGATTATTGTGGATGTGGATGCTGTACCTGCCCTGGGGCAGGTAATTTGCATTTCAATGTAAGGAGGGAAGAGAAGCTGGCTGCCTGAGCTGCTGCTACTCTCTCTGTGCTCTTGCTCTTTGTCGCCACCATGAAAGGTTGCTTTCTGCTATGTGCTGCTCTGCCTTGGAGCCAGCTGAATATGGACTGAAACCTCCAGTAACTGTGAGCTAAATAAACCTTGCCTTCCCTAATTTGAGCGTCGGGTATTTGTCCCAGCAATGAGAGAAGAGTAACTGAGACAATGGCCATACTTCCAAAACTATTACATAAATTTAA